CATGGCAACTGATGCCACGTGACGAGTCACTCGTGTGCTGAGAAGCCGTAATTAGCATTTACTGCTCTCTCTGGAAATACAGATGTTCCCTGACAGGACTGCCTCCATCCCCCTCCCCCACCCCCTGCATCTCTTTGCTCTCTGCTGCCACCTTTGTCTGCACAGCCGTCCTCGGCTTATGCTGCTCTTCTATACAGATGACCTTACAAGCACAGAGGTATCTGTAAGATATGCAAGCCTGTCTGGTCCTAATCTTGCTCTTGAACTTGAGTCATAACTTAAAATCTTCAAGTATCACGCGTGACGTTTTTCCATGGGTGTCCCAGTAGTGCGAGAACATCACAACAGCCAGAGCAAACATCTGCTCTCTCCGCAAGCCTCTCCTTCTCCTCCGTCCCCGAGGGCTAAAAGCCTCACCAGGCCCCTCTCCCCACATCCCCTCAGGAGCGCTCTGCGGTCCTCCTGCCCCTCTCCCCACATCCCCTCAGGAGCGCTCTGCGGTCCTCCTCCCTGCTGTGCCACCCTTTCCTCTCCATTTCAGTTACCCTGGTGGGTGCCTACCACTTCTCACGCGGATAACTGGAGTCATGCTATGATTTGATTTCCTGCCTTCCACTTCTCTCTCCTCTGAGATTCTATCCCTTCATGGGCTTCCCAGGTGGCCCAGTGGTAAAGAATCTACCTGCCAATGCAGGAGACGCAGGTGACTCGGTTCGATCCCTGCTGTTAGGAAGATCCCCTGGAGGAGGAAATGGCAACCCACTCCAGTATCCTTGCCTGGAGAATCCCATGGACAGAGGAGCCTGGTGGGCTACAGTCCATGGGGTCGGTAAGAGTCAGACATGGCTGAGCATAAGCACAGGACTTAAATGATAAAACTTCTTTTTTCTTAGGAAAATATTATTCTCTATTTGGCTGTGCCCGGTCTTAGATGTGAAGTATGGAATCTTTAGTTGAGGCTTGTGGGAGCTAGTTCCCCAACCAGGAATTGAACCTGGGTCCCCTGCATTGGGAGCGTGGAGTCTTAGCCATTGGACCACCAGGGCAGTCCCTGAAACTACTTACAGGAGATAAAACCACACCACTCCCTTTCTCAGTCGCTTCCACACTCCTCACTGACTACAAAAGACAGTCAGCATGGATTCACCTTCTTCCAGTTTTCTCTCCACCACTTCTGCACACAGGCCCACCCCAAGCTCTGAGCTCCAGTCATGCTGGAGTTTGCCATTCTCCAAACAGCCTTGTGTTAAAGTCTTTGTCCTATTCTCATTGGTTCCTTCTATCTTGACCGGAGCTACCCAGACTGCATTTGGTGTGTGAACATTTGTTACTGGTCTGTGATAAATAGGTCATGTAAATTGATAGTAATCATTTAGAAATTTATATGACACATTGACAAAGTAATTTTAGGTTTGTTGAACCTAATATTTAGTAATATGGGCGTGGATTTTGTATGCTGGTTTTTTATATCATTTTTTTCAGTAATTCATTTCTATTTTATTATATAAAGTACTAATCTGTTAAAAGGAAAAGAGAATTGAAGAACAAGGTAGCCTTTGTGAGGAGTTACTGGAAACAATCAAGTGGGCTACTGCAGAAATAAGCTTCTTTGCGTGCGTTCTAAGTCACTTCAGTCATGTCTGACTCATGATCCCAGGGGCTGTAGCTTCCTTAGGATCCACTAAACTGGTTATAGGATGTTAGAGAAACATGAACATAAAGGTATTATTTTCCCAGTTAACATGTGTGAAGGAATGGTCTTAAAAAAGAAAAAAGTGTTCATTTGTGATCAATTGAATAAAAAACAAAATCTGGCCCCTCTCCACAGAAAGTTTGAGAAGCTCTGGTCAAAACCATCTTTCCAACAGCATCCTCAGAAGAGCCGCCAGGTGAAACCTACTCATCCTTCGTGGTCCAGCTCAAATGACACCTCCTCCGTGAGTCCTTCCTCAACTGCCCAGCCTAAAAGCTGCTCACACAGCTGCTCCATGACCACAGCATTTAGTGAAAAACTTTCTGAAGCTTTACCAGTTGTGTCTTCTCTTACATCTACATGCATCTTCTTCACCAGGTTGGGTGTTGAAGTCAAGAACCATTATGCAAAACAGATATTCAGTCCACTGGGTGAAACATAGTTATTAGAGATTAAATAAAGTGAATGGGGAAATGCTTTCCATTCTTTACCTACCGCAAAGTGGGGGCTCTGAATAAAGTTCCTGACCAGGCATCCACTTGCCTCCCAGCCTCAAAGCCTTTTGCATTTCACACTGAGTGGTAACCTGCCCTTGGCTAGTCCCCAGCTCACACCTGAGATCACACAGTGTCAGCCCTTTCTCTATGCTGTGCCTTCCACTGGGCATTGTTTTCACCCTGGTTTGTCTGGTAAATACTCGTGTGTCCTTCAAGACTCAGGCCACAGATCCTTTCCTTCAAAATCTATCCTAAGATTTCCCTCATGGTCCAGTGGTTGACAAGCCACCTGCCAGTGCAGAGGGCCCAGGTTCTATCCCTGGTCCGAGAAGACCCCACATGCTTCAGGGCAACTAAGCCCATGAGCCACAACTACTGAGCCCAAGCACCCTCAAGCCCATGCTCCGCAACAAGAGAAGCTGCTGCAGTGAGAAGCCCGTGCACCACAACTAAAGTAGCTCCCACTCACCGCAACTGGAGAAAGCCCATGTACAGCAGCAAAGACCCAGCAGAGCCAAAAATGATGTAAATAAATAAAATACGAAATCCATCCTTTAATATCTTTCCTTCGGGCATCCACCACATTCTTGTGCTTGCTCTCCCCAGACACTTACATATTAAACAGAAATGATCTGTGCAGGTGCCTGTCGTCCCCACGCCTCTAGGCTGGTAACTTTGCTAAGGACGGAGATAATACCTTATTAAGCTCTGTGCCCTCAGCGCCAAGCACAGTGCACATCAGTGTCCAAAAACACGATTTATCTGAACAGCATGCTCAGTTTGAACAACTGAAGGAAAAGAAGATATCTGCTGGTCTACGGAGATACCATGCCAGGCAAAACAAATCAGAGAAAGGCTAGTTTAGTTGAGCCTGAGAATGAAAGTAAGGATGGTTGATTAGGAAAAAAACACTAGAGAGAAGATAGGATTAAACTCAGTGGCTTTTTGTAGAAATGGATATTTTCTTTTGTTAGGGAAAGCTGGAATCAGAGATTCCGATTCTGAACTGAGTATAACTGGAGTTATTACAGATTCTACTATTCTAACAAGGAAACTCTTGCTACTGATTCGTAAAAGGTTCAATCACCAGGATGCTATGATATCCCCTGAGGAAGCCAGTCAAGAAGCAAGAGGAGGTTACTGGTGAAAGATGTCTTAACTGAGAAGAGGGACCCATAGTGCAACAGAGGGACACGTGGAAGAGGCATTAACTTGGGGCAAGACATTCCCTTTGCTCAGATACCGTCCAGCCTCCTGGAATCAATGCAGAGGTTTCAAGCTGTGCTTGTAAAGTTATCCCAAAGGATGATTTGCTAGTTCCTGGCCAGACCTTGTGCTGTCCACCAAGGAAACACCCCTGGTTACTGGGATTACACAATAACCTCAAGACAGTTGGATGGTATAAGTCAATCAGAACCACGTGGGACTGGCAGGAGATATCCCAAAGGGGACCAAATCCAGGTCTCCTTGCTTTGGTTGCAAACTACTGATCCATATTCCACAGGAGGCCCTGTCTATCTTTGGCCAGTAGCTACTGTCAACTGCCACTAGGGTTCCAAACTGAAGACCAGAAAGCCCATTTAACACCTTGGTGGATTGAAAAAAAAAACTCCCTAAGGGAAACACTTGAAAATATTTTAAGTCACTGCAGTGGATCTGACTTTTCTTCCTTTGACTGATCTTATAAACGTAACATTTATCTTAAAGGATTGATGTGAGAGTAAATGCAACGATGTTTGTAAAAGTAACTATAGCATGGTGCCCAATGAATACCAATCAACACATTAACCAGAAGGGCACTCTGATTCCTTCAATTAAAAATATATTCTTGTATTTCTTCCTAGAACTGTGAATCTTCCAGTGGCCCTTTTGTTCACAGGGTAAAACCCAGCGTTGCCATGTTCTCACGGCATCCAGGGCTAGACCACCATCTGGTCCTCACAACGTGGCCAGCCTTCTCCCTTGCCATCGTCTCCCACCACGCACACAGCCTTCTCGGTCACACTGAATTACGTGCCCCTCTCTGAACTCACTGTGCTCTCCCAGGCCTCAGTGCACTTGTACGTGCTGCGTCCTGAGTCAGGAATGTCCTGACTCCTCAACCAGCTGGAAAATTCCTCAGGATCTTTCAAGAGTGAACTCAAGCATTTCATCTTCCATAAAGCCGATTCTCGCTCACCCCGCCAGAAGCATGTGCGTTCTTCTCTGCAGAACTTAGGAAACCATTTGCTTGTCTTCAAGATCCTTCTTTGACAGCAAGGATTACATTTTGTTTTTCTGTCCCATCAATCACTTAAGAAATGAATGAACGATGTGACTACACTCCCTCTACAGTCTAGGTGCCAGCGCTGTTTGGCATCAGCCTCATCTCCTGGGAACCCCTCCTTTTGGCTCTTATTCACCTACTGCCTGGCCCGGGAGCTCAGAGCCCCTCAGAAGCTGCCCTCAATGCCCAGGGCAATGAGCATTTGTTAAGTGGAAGAAAATTCAATCATTCAGTGTTACATTGTTCTAGTAGAGGTGGGATGCTCATAGGTCTAGATAAGGGAAATCAGGAAGTCTGATGCTTTTGGGGTCACCGGTCAAACTACTGCTTCCTGGACAGGAGGAAAGGTGAGGTCAAATATTTTTACTAAAATTCAACTAAGACAGCCACAGAGTGACCCACAGACTTTATGCAGACATTTTGGCATTAGTTAATTTTTTCTGACTGTCTGGCTAAAGATACAGATAAATTTCTCCAGTTGTTTTGGGGTGGGTCTAATTGGGTCTAACTGAGATGATTTTCTCGGTTCGTTCATGTTGATTACCTGTAAATTATCCAGGATAATTCGGAGGGAGTGCACCTGTCGTCGAACAGCCCCCGAAAACCTTTCGTAGGTGGCAGCATCATATTCACTCATTTGGATCTCCTTTAGCCTAAAATTGGAGGGTGAAAAAGGAGACAGCTGTGAGCAGGTACCCGCGGGTCTTTTACTGACAGTCACCTACTGCTAGAAGTAGCCACCTTCTTAGCGACTTGGTTTGCCTTTGAGGAGAAAAAGCAGGAAGTCACAGAGAACAGATGTACGGACGCCAAGGGGGAAGGGAGTGGGGTGGCAGGAACTGGAAGACTGGGGTTGATACACGCAGACTACTGACTGCTTCGGTTGCTTAGTTGCTAAGTCTCATCCCCATGAACTATAGCCTGCCTACCAGGCTCCTGTCCATGGGATTTCCCAGGTAAGAATACTGGAGTGGGTTGCCATTTCCTTCTCTTCCTCACCCAGGGATCAAATCCACATCTCCTGCATTGGCAGGCAGATTCTTTACTGCTGAGCCACAGGGAAGCCTGTACACTACTGATGAAAGTGAAAGTGAAAGCCACTCAGTCGTGTCTGACTCTTTTCGACCCCATGGACTATACAGTGCATGGAATTCTGCAGGCCACAATACCGAAGTGGGTAGCCTTCCCCTTCTCCAGGGGATCTTCCCAACCCAGGGATCCAACCCAGGTCTCCCTCACTGCAGGCAGATTCTTTACCAGCTGAGCCACAAGGGCAGCCCAGGAACACTGGAGTGGGTAGCCTATCCCTTCAGCAGATCTTCCTGACCCAGGAATGGAACCGGGGTCCCCTGCACTGCGGGCAGATTCTTTACCAACTGAGTTATCAGGGAATATATAAAATAGACAACTGATAGGAACACACTGCACCGCGCAGGGAAGTCTACACTTAATGCACTGTGGTGTCCTAACTGGCAGGGAAATCGAAAGCGGGGGATACATGTATATGTGCGGCTGGTTCATTTTGCTGTGCTGGAGAAGCTAACACAACACTGTAAAGCAATCATACTTCAATAAAAATTAATTAGCAAAAAATAACAATTAAAAAAATACAGAAATCCAGCTAGTTCAAGTAAAGAGGGAAAAAGGAAAGGCAACAAGAGATGTCTCCAGCTAATATTTCAAAAGAGAGGAATGTGTGTGCAGTGATGCGCTGGGAAACAGTTAACAAGTTGCCCTGCCACGGAAAAGCAGCCCTGATTTGTAGTGTTTGTTGACGTTTGTGGTAACGGATTTTAAGCTATCAACAGAGAGGCCCCTGAATGAGAAAGAGCCAGTGTGCATCAGCTGTGTAGCACATCACGACTGTATCCCAGACGTGTGCCCCTGATGTTGGCAGACGGTCAGTTCCTGTGGCAGGCTCCTAGAGCGATCCTGGGGGATGCTTTTTAGGACCAAGGACATATATTTGGTTGGCCAAGATAACAGCTCCTGCCCAGAGACTGTCAATAAATGGGTTACTGAATAAAACAGGAGTTTTCTGAAACTGCCAACTGTGTACTTTTAACAGGATAATCGTGTGCTAAGACTACTGCGGCGCTGAAACTCTGGTGCTCCTTTTTATTACTCTTTCATTATTTGCTTCAGCGGCAGCCCTGCCTCTAAACTGGCAGTTTCCTGAACGCACCCTGTGCCCTTGCCTCTGAGGCTCTTCCTGGTTTCTCTCCCACCCTTCTTTCCCGGCTGACTCCCATGAACTCTTCAAACCAATGGTCACCTCCTCCAGGAAGCCTGCTCTGATCCTCTGGTCTGTGGTCTGGGCTCTAACATCACTTCATGCTTGTCTCTATACAGTGGTTGCTACCTGTGCTGTAGTCTGCTCCCTGTCTCCCCAGCTGTCTCCTTTATTTTTTCTCATCTTTCTCTGCATGGTGGTTTGCACGATATCTAGCATAATAGATGCTCAAAACAAACTGAGATAAATCACTGAAATACAAATAAGACTCCACTGTTTAAAATGTGTGCATGCTGCGTGCTTAGTGGTGTCCGACTCTTTGTGACCCCATGGACTGTAGCCCACCAGGCTCCTCTGTCCATGGGATTCTCCAGGCAAGAATACTGGAGTGGGTTGCCAGTTCCTCCTCCAGGGAATCTTCCAGACCCAGGGACTGAACCGACATCTCCTGTGTCCCCTGCATTACAGGTGGATTCTATACCAGCTGAGCCATCAGAAAAGCCCTACAGTATCTTAAACTAGTCAGAAGAAGGCTTTGCAGTGTTGTATTCATAACAGGCTAATTTGATGACAGATTTCTACAAATTTCTATAAATGTAAAGGGTACTAATACGAGAATAGGGAAACATGAATGCATATCAAAAGCCCAACCACAACAGGTTTCTAAGCTATTGCTACTGTATGTGTGCGTGTATGTGTGTACATGTGTGTGCATGCATGCAATATTGGAAGTATGGATTCTCAGTGCTGAGTTGAAACTCTTATCTGGAGTATATCTCTATTGTCCTTGGCTGGAGATGAACCCCCTAATGCTCTCACTGAGGATGAATGGTTTCTATTCCTCCCATCAGGCCACGCTCTGGGAAGATTCCATCCATCCCAGGGCAGAGCGCTGGAGTCTTATTAGAATCACACAATGTTAGGCTTAGACCACCATGAGGGCAGACGGGCAGTTCCTGCCCTACCACCTGGCTGGTCAGCTGGTGCCACCTCAAGTGTCAAGACCTAGCTCAAAGGTCATGCCCTATGAAGTCTTGCTTGGTCCCTCCACGATCAGTCTCTTTCACGCATCTTCCATAGATATCTGCTGTGGAACTTATGCATTTTATCGCTTTTAACGCATGTCTACTTTGCTCTATCAGAGTGTTTTTCAAACATATTTTCCACAGTAGAAAATGAGCTTCGCATTGAGATCCAGCACACAAAAAAATGCATGTACACACACACATGTGTGTACTTGAGCCAAATATTTAATGAAGTTTAATGAACTTTACTACACGTGAGGTGCTCTGATAGTCCTCTTCTAATTCTCTGGGGAAAGGAATGTGTCTTATTCTTTCTCAGCATCTCCAGCACCGGCACAAACCCTGGTACTCAGTGGCATGCAAGAAATGCTGCCAAGTAGCACTTTGAAAATACTGGCTATCAAACAGTAAATACCTGAAAGGTAAATAATATCTGAATGATCGTTTCCTGAGGTGATATGCAAAGGTGCCCTGTAAAACGAATTTACTCTCTGCTCTGAAGGACAAAAAGGAATATGCGTATAGGATTTGACCTCTTATGTGTACTTTTGGCAATCTCTTAAAACTCTCTTTAAGTTTTCATTGATGAAGATATGTCTCAAGTGTAAAGCTTGACAGATGCTGGGCACGATGACCACTGCAAGATACGCTACCAACATCTTTCCTACCTGGGAGGCCAGTACACTCTCTCCCAAAGAAGAGAGATTAGAAAAAAAAAAAAAGTAGGCACAAAGCTTGTCCTCAGCAGGACACACACACACACATGCACACACACACACATCAAGGAAGGAACCAGGCAGTTGGTAAGTCACCCCAGGCAGATTGGCTTTTGCAGAGAGATCTGAATTAACTCCAGTTACAATGATACCTCTGGCATGAGTGTGTTGCTCCCAAAACACACCACATGCTGTTCTAATTAGGAAGAAATCTGGAAATCATATTCCAAGCTGTGTTAGCTTTCATGAAGATCACCTACAAGGTGTTCAAAGCTGATAACATTCTCAAAGATGAAGGCCGAGGCAGGGAGTGGGGAAAGAAAACAGGACATGCTGGCCTCTGCATCAGACGAGACTCCCAGTGCTAATACTCCCTGGCTCACAGGGCTGGCTGAAAATGTGTCTCTCTGCTGCTTTAACCCTGATCAAAACTGTAGGGCACAGCTGCTTCACAGCCTAGTAATCTACGCGGACTGACTGCACTTTGCTGGCACAGCCTATTCTTAAAGGGTATATTTATTGTTACGTAAGAGTCTGGGAATTTTAGGTCTCATTTTACTTTTTCATATAGGTCAGATTTAAATACTGTAATTTTGGATCATTTATGAGGAAAACAAACATAAGCTAAGATCTACTGTGTAGGGCTGATTAGTCTTGCAAATGGTCGTGGGTACGATTTCCACAGGTGGTGCCCACCTGAGAGGCTTTTCCAAGCATGTAAAAGCGCCTCGCCATCTATTTCATTCCTGCTTTGTTGGTTTAATGTCTGTCCTGCTTCACATGTGTCTTATTCTTGTCTACTTCTGTTATTCTTCCTAAGTTAATCAGGTCTTGACAATTAAGAGCCAGTATCTAGCCAAAATCCAGATGCAAATGAATGCTAACTAAATGCTCTGTTGATGATGTCAAAACCCATCAGTAGAATTAGGCTCTTCACGGCAATATGGTGGATCCCTAGGCTGATGGGTCAGTCTGGCTTCAACCAGTCTTTGAATTAAGTATGAAAGGGTGATAGCATTACTTGTTCGCACATGCATATTATTCATTTCACAAACATGTATGTGCTTGCTATGTACTAGGTTCTTTGTGTAGCTACTGGGGATATTTTGCTATTGTTTTGTTGCTAAGTCATAGAGGGCAAAAACACCCTTCCCTCAAGGAACTTGAAGTCAATAGAGAAGAAATCAACTACTCATACAAATAACACAATGGGAAGTAGTGATAAGAACTATGGAGAGAAGGTATTGGCTGCTATAAAAGCATACATGCAGGGCCTTGACTTCATTCTGCATATAACTAGATGTGCAAAATAGCTTTGAAACTAACAATTGGATGATAGTGAAGAATGATTATTTTTTTACCAACAAAGGTCCATCTAGTCAAAGCTATGGTTTTTCCAGTAGTCATCTATGGATGTGAGAGTTGGACCATAAAGAAAGCTGAGTGCCAAAAAATTGATGTTTTTGAACTGTGGTGTTGGAGAAGACTCTTGAGAGTCCCTTGGACTGCAAGGAGATCAACCAGTCCATCCTGAAGGAGATCAGTCCTGAATATTCATTGGAAGGACTGATGCTGAAGCTGAAACTACCATACTTTTGCCACCTGATGTGAAAAACTGACTCATTTGAAAAGACCCTGATGCTGGGAGGGATTGGGGGCAGGAGGAGAAGGGGACGACAGAGGATGAGATGGTTGGATGGCATCACAGACTTGATGGACATGAGTTTGAGCAATCTCTGGGAGTTGGTGATGGACAGGGAGGCCTGGTGTGCTGTGGTCCATGGGTGTGCAAAGAGTCAGACTGAACTGAACTGAACAGTATTGTGCATTTTAATTTTTTTAAATAAAGTAATCAGAGATAAACTCTGAACTATTTATGATAAATAGAAAATCTTGAATTAGCTTAAAACAAAAAACTCAGGGTTGGGAAGGGAGTCAGATTTTCTTCTTGAAGTTGAGAGAATAGGCCCACAGGATTCATTACAGGTTTCTCTCTATTTTTGTTTATGTTTGAAAAGTTTTATAATAAAAAGTTTAAGAAAAATTTTGCTGTTGTTGTTCAGTAGTTAAGTCATGTCTGATTCTTTGTGACCTCGTAGACTGCATCATGCCAGGCTCCTCTGGACTTCACTGTCTCCTGGAGTTTGCTCAGATATATGTCCACTGAGTCGGGGTGATGCTATCTAAACATCTCATCCTCTGCTGCCCCCTTCTCCTCCTGCCTTCAATCTTTCCCACCCTCAGGGTCTTTTCCAATGAGTCAGTTCTTCACAATAGGTGGCCAAAGCATTGGAGCTTCAGCTTCAACATCAGTCCTTCCAATGATTATTCAGGACTGATTTCCTTTAGGATGGACTGGTTTGATTCCCTTGCTGTCCAAGGGACTCTCGAGTCTTCAACACCACTACTGGAAACCATCAGTTCTTCGACACTCAGTCTTTATGGTCCAACTCTCACATCCTTATATGACTAATGGAAAAACCATAGCTTTGACAATATGGACATCTGTCAGCAAAGTAATGCCTTTGCCTCTGCTTTTTAATATGCTGTTTATGTTTGTCATAGCTTTTCTTCTAAAGAACAAGTGTCCTTTAATTTCATGGCTGCAGTCACCATCCACAGTGATTTTGGAGCCCCCAGAATTAAAATCTGTCACTCTTCCCACTTTTCCCCCTTCTATTTGCCATGAAGTGATGGGACTGGGTGCCAGACTTTAGCAGTGCTAAACTGAATACGCTAAATGTGACTAAATAAATAGCAAATAGTCACTAATTGTGACTATTAATATACAAAAGTAGAAAGCAACACTTTTCTGTGTGTTTTCTGTCTTTTTCAGGGTCTCCACGTGCTTTTATTTCATCCCCTCCTTTCTCATCTCCTTGTTCAGCTCCTCTGTATTTGAAGTACCTTCTGGTACTCTTTCACTTGGATTTGGATTCTTCTCTGCAGCATTTAGTAGAAGTATACGGTGTCTCAGATGGTAAAGAAGCTGCCTGCAAAGCTGGAGACCTGGATTTGATCCCTGGGTTGGCAAGATCCCCTGGAGAAGGGAATGGCAACCCATTCCAGTATTCTTGCCTGGAAAATCCCATGGGCTGAGGAGCCTGGCAGGCTACTGTCCATGGGGTTGCAAAGAGTCGGACACGACTGAGTAACACTGCAACGGTTTTCTCAGTCCCTTCTCCACTTTTTCTCTCTCCTCCCTTATAGCCACTAAATTTAGTTGCCTTATTATCACAGATGCTCCCTAATTTCTTTACCCTGTGGGGCAAGTGTACTTAACAGAACCAGGTTCCTCACTGTCTATCATGGGAATTAGAGAAGGGGTTCTAAACTTGCACCCAAACACGACTTACAACTGGAGAAGTAAATGGCAACCTACTCCAGTATTCTTGCCTAGAGAACTCCAAGGACAGAGGAGACCAGCAGGCTACAGTTCATGGAGCTGCAAGAGTCAGACATGACAGCAACCAAACCATCACCACGAATTACAAGTCCTTCTGTGTGAATTGCTCTATTCACTTGCCCCACTTACACAAAAATTGAGACCAGATTTGTGAGGTTTTCAGTGTGGGAACAACAGGAACTCATTGGTGGGGAAGGAGAAGATGATGTGTATCTAATTATTCGGTTCTTTTCCCAAGTAAATATTTATTATTTATATGAAATGTAAAATTAAAACTGTTTTTTAATTCTAATAAGATCTTGCATTATTGGATTCCTCCCACCTTTTTTTGAGAAGTTTAAACTGTTTCCATTCCTAACAGTTATTTGTCCTTACAACCTCTCTGAGAGGAAGAGGGAAGGGAGTCACCTATAACCAAAAGAACAGACTGACGCACAGCAAGGAGAAATCAATTGTTGGAGATCTCCAGGGAAGTGGGCAGAAGGGCTGGGAGTGACACTTGTCGTATCTACCTGCTGAGTACACGAGGACCCGAAGCCTTGCAGGCTTTCCTGAGGGTGTGTCTGGAGGGACCTGCGTTTTTGTCCCCATTGTTCTGGACTGTTTACTTGCAGGATGTGTAAGCCCAGCACATAATGTAATACCAGATGTCCTGCGTGGGAGGAATTTCGGAACTCATGGACGCTGGAGAGTGTGCTTTATCTGAACTGCGCCCAGCTCCTTCTGTGGAGCCCAACAGTGTAAATCTGCCTCCCCGACCACGACTCTCACCTTCAGTCCCAAAGGAGATCTTCCTGGTTCTTTGGTACTTGTCACTTTGAGCTGAAGAACACAGGGAAAGCATCTAGGGAAAGCGTCATGGGGTTTCTTCTCATGTTCTAGATGATTCCAATCAGAGTGGCCCCACACGGTTCCAGAATGAAAGCTACAGGCTCATGGGCCTGGATCTCAAGGCCTCCACCCACTGACAGTTAACCCCACTCCTCACTGGCCCCAGCTGGTACCCTTTTTCTGCATGTGGCTGGCTCTCTCCGCCACAGTCACTCTGCTCATCCTGGCTTGCGCACTTAGCTTTCCCTTCCTGGAAGGTCCAAACACTGGCTGTGTTCAGGCCTCACCTCACGTCAGCCCAGTGACTTTCCCCTTCTCTGTATCGCTGGAGGGCACAGCCTCTGTATCACGTGACTTTAGCACTTAATGACTTACCCAGGGTATGTGCGAAAGTGTGTGTGGGAGTGTGTGTGTGTGTGTGTGTGTGTGTGTGTGTGCGCGCGCACGCGTGTACACTAGTCCTGTCTCCACACAAATCTACAAGATTCCTGAGGGGCAGGAAGGGATCATCATGGAACGTTATCTCAAATGGCTATGTGGCCTGGGAATAGACGTGGATGGAATGAGCTGATCTTTAGCTTCTCCAGGGAGAAATACCTTTGGTTTTACTTTTTTTACAGATTTTTTTTTTTTTGATGTGAACTGTTTTTAAAAGTTTTCATTGAATTTGTGACAATATTGCTTCTGTTTTCTATGCTTTGGCTTTTTGGCCTTGAGGAGTGTGGGATCTCAGCTCCCTAACCAGGGATCAACCTGCACTCCCTGCTTTGGAAGGTAAAGCCTTAACCACTGGATTGCCCAGGGAAATCCCTGGTCTTACCTTCTACCGTGCTCAGTCCTTCCTCTATACCGTTATATGCAATTAATGCATTTAAAAGGGCCTGAGCAGAAAGGGCCAGGGATTATGTTCATTTAGCTGTCTCCAATGGGGGGTGGGGTGGCTACGGGTTGCAGTTTGTGGTCTAAGTGGCTGCACAAAGAAGAGACTCACAGAACCCTGGGTCTGCCCAGGGTTTGCCGTGACGTTTCCCCACTCCGGACGCAGTGGGGACCACCCACCTCTGTTGAAACGCTCTCTGGCCCATCTCTCTCGCCGCTCTCTTCACCTCCTCCGGAACAGCGTCTTTCTCGGCCTGAGAGACCTGGTAGACCGTGTGGCCTGCGTCCAGCCGGTAAGGACCTCCCATGCCACCCAGGCCTGCGGTGTCTCTTCCACCTGGGAGGAAACCATGAAAGTCCAGCTGATTAGTCTGATCTAGACCACAAAAGAGCAAGGCTTTTAGGCAGTCCCATGAAGTATATTCATTATACCTGCATGCTGTGCTAAGTCCCTTAAGTCGTGTCCGATTCTGAGACACTATAGACTGTAGCCCGCCAGGCTCCTCTGTCCATGGGATTCTCCAGGCAAGAACACTGAAGTGGGTTGCCATGCTCTTCTCCAGGGGACCTTCCCAACCCAGGGATCAAAACCGTGTCTCCCGCGGCTCCTGCATTGCAGGCACATTCTTTATCGCTGAGCCAGTGGGAAAACTAGTAATTATTCAAATGACTTTCTTCTGGAAACACAAGGTGTTCCCCAGTTTAGGATGCTCTCCTTCTTCTCCATCCAACCAATTCCAACCCATATTTCAAGGCTCAGTCCAAAATCCATGACACCTCACCTGATGACAGCCACGCAAGGATCAATATTCTTGTGACCTGTTTGTTATTCCTTAACTTTTTTCTTTTTTTACATCTACAGGATGAATGGGATTATATTTTATATATCTTTGTAGCTGAGCACCTGTAAGAGTGGCTTAAGTGAAGTGAAGTTGCTCAGTCGTGTCTGACTCTTTGTGACCCCATGGACGGTAGTCTATGGGTCCTCCATTCATGGAATTTTCTAGGCAGGAGTACTGGAATGGGTTGCCATTTCCTTCTCCAGGGGATCTTCCCGACCCCAGGATTGAATCTGGGTCTCCTGCATTGCGGGCAGATGCTTTACCGTCTGAGCCACCAGGGAAAAGTGGCTTAAACACCATAAATACTTGGTGTGTGCGTGCGTGCAGTCGCTCCAATCATATCCAACTCTTTGCGACAGGCTCCTCTGTCCATGGGGCTTCTCCAGACAAGAATACTGGAGTGGGTGACCATGCCCTCCTCCAGCAGATCTTCCCAACCCAGGCTGAACTCATGTCTCCTGTGGCTCCTGTTTTGCAGGCAGATTCTTTACCTCTGAGCCACTGGGGAAGCCCCAAATACTTCATGTGTATGTGTATATTTATATGTTAATTAAGTGAACAACACTCCTCTTCCTTCACAGTAACCTGATTTTTCATTAAAATCAAAGAAAATGGCCAGGCTATAGATATTGCTTCTTCTGCTTTGCAAGTGGCAAAAATGCAGCGCAGAGAGGTTAAGTGACAGACATGAGAACTTGTATCGGTGGCTAAGCCAAGAGGAGAAGTCAGTTATTATACTTTGACTTTTAGCTTAGAATAACGTAGAACAGATAAATACTGCCAGCTTCAGGACAGTTTTAAAATATAAACCCAAGTTTACATGCTTGTTGGAGAAGGGAATGGTAACACACTCCAGCATTCTTCCCTGGAGAATCCCTTGGACAGAGGAGCCTGGTGGGCTACAGTCCATGGGATCGCAAAGAGTTGGACATGATTGAGCAACTAACAAGCTTGTAAATGTGTATCATGTAATACTGTAGTTGTAGGTATAAATTAAATGCCTAGAAGACCGGGTAGGTAATATTATAAGAAGTGGTGAGAACTTGGCTAACTAGAGAGGACTTGCTTTGTCTAAACATATTCAAATTCAAATCATCTTAAAACACGACATGGACTGCCAAAATACATATATTGGCTAGATTTGGGCCCTGGGTTACCAGTTTATTGCCCCAGCTTTATAATGATTAAAATATCAGCAATTAGTTTCTTTTGTTCCTTTACACATAACTTGGGAACTTAGAAGAGAACCCAATATTGGAGGGGTAGAATAATATTGTATATTATAGTGAAGTATTGATTAGTATAGTATACTAATAGCATTAATACTGACACTAGCATCATACAGTACAGTATTGTATGGTTCAGTCAGACTGCCTGAGTTTGAACCCTGGTTCCAACGCATTAGCCATGTGTCCTTGAGGGAAGTCCCCTAACTTCTCTGTCTCAGTCACACTCAGCACAATGGCACAAAATCAGAGCTCTATAAGGGACTTCTCTCACTATCATTATGCAGACGACTTCCAGTCACACAGAATGAGGTCATTTCTAAGTTTCATAAAGTGGAAATTTTGAAAGTGTTTAGGCTTTGGATAAATTATGCTACATTTCCCTTTTCTCCCTTGAAGCCTTAGCTGGTGTGACAAGTTAAAAGCAAGAACTCAGCGTGCTCTGTTTCCCTTATCAAAGTCCAGGTAGGTCATTTCCTTCTGGGAAATACCATGAGAACAGCCCATTAATTATAGTATTTTTATCCTTTGATTCCAGCACATCTTATTTCTTTTTTATTTAGAAATTGCTGGTGGAAAATTCCACCTTGGATGCGTGTGACTCCTGGCTGTCACTTACGGATGGTCAATGGGCGGAGAGGACTATGGTCATGAGATTCAGGGGTGGAAATGCTGTCCTGAGACCTGACTCCCTTTCTACCAGCGGTGCTCCTTAGTTACGGGTAGGTCATAAATGAGAACTTAAAGCTTCCCAGGTGCTGAGATGAGATCGTTCCTGGTGAAAGGAGGGAATGACCTACAACCGTCTAGAGGCTGCTGTGCGGGACGGTCAGTCCCTTGGGAAAGTCAGATGGGATGGAGAGGGTGTGAGGGAGGAATTTTTCACGACCTGCACTTCCAAGAAGCCTTTAATTTGAACTCGTGACTCCTGAGTGTGAGCTCAGTCGTGTCCGACTCTTTGCGACCCCATGGACTGTAGCCTGCCAGGCTCCTCTGTCCATGGAATTTTCCAGGCAAGAATACTGGAGGGGGTTGACACACCCTTCTCCAGGGAATCTTCCCAACCCAGAGACTGAACCCATGTCTCTTGCATCTCCTGCACTGGCAGGCAGGTTCTTTACTGCCAAAATGAAAATGCTTGCCAAAGAGTCTAGATCTCAAGGTACACTCTTGAAACTAACCTCGGATATCCTAAATCTGTGAAGATACAGGGGAGAAAGACAGGGAAGGGGTTTTGATGATGAAAAAGGAATCAAATGACTCATGTAATCAAATGATCACCTTCAGTGCAGAGAATTCTGAGGCAGAGACTGACAAAGAGAAAAAGAACTTGTAGCGAAAGAGCCTTGATAGATTGACAAACAGGCTGGAAAATAAAAGGAGGGCCATCAGTCTGGACAGATATGTGAGCTGGTAGACACGAGCTGAATAACAAGCGAGCACCTCTGCTCCAGAGCAGCCCACGGCTGGGAAGCCTGCATCTGGCCAGAGTGTCCCACATGCATTCCACAGGGATTAAATCCTGCCAGCTTGACACTAACTTCCAGATCAAAGGCCATGTCTAAAAATATCCTTCCTTTCAAGCTGATGCTTGATGAATAAACAGAGCAGACAAGGAGTCCACAGCCTGCTTGATAGCACATTGTCTGCGCACGGTAGCCCATTTCCTCCCAAGGCTGTCAAGGCCAAGAAGCACAGACCGTCCTCGGGGAAGACGGAGAACGGAGCTCATGCCGGCGCAGCTCACGGCCACGATAAGATCAGATGGTGCGCACACAGTCTGGCCCTATTCCTGCGGCCCCACAGCTGTGTCGCTCCAGCTGCCGCAGAGGAAAGAGGAAGGCTGTGGTCCTGGGAACAATGCTCTCGACAGGCAGCCAAGAGGAAGGGACGGACCCCAGCCATCAGCTCAGGCCACAACCATCTCTCTTATCTCAGAACCCCGCAGCCTCGACGTACGCTCTTCTGAGATGTGGAAGACAAGGACCATGTCTTTTCAAAGTCAGCTGGTCCAGAAAGAATTTACTGTCGATTTCTGGCATGGTCCCAAGGACAGGGAATTTAAAAGAGGGGATTAACACTTTTAATGAATGCATTTTTCATGCCAGGTCTTGAGCTCAGCGCTTTGCAGTCATAATCTTACTGAATCCTCACCACAATCTTGGGAGGCAGTTCCTAGTAGGCCCCTTTGATGAATGAGGACCAGAATGGTCTGAGGTCAGGGGATTGCTACCTCTGACTGTCTGCTGAGTCTGTGGGACTCCAAATGCCAGGGCTTTTCCGTGTCTTAAAGTCACTCTGTGTCAGAGGGCAGAAGCACACTCCAACTGACTACTGGGGGTGGAGGGGAAGGCAAACTGATTCCTGAGCCTTCTTGGGGCTGGTGCACTGCCCACATGGGCTCACGGAGTCTCTGGAGGCCTGACTCAGGAAAGCGCCTGTGCTACCAACCTGTGCCGCCAGCCCAAGTGTTACCACCCACGTGTGGCATGTTGTCCGGGTCCTCCTTCCCGTGCTTCGGGGAGCTCACGTCTTCACCGCTCTCTCTTTCAATTGTTACCTGAAAATTAAGAAATAAGACATTATCACTCTCCGTGACCAAGGCCAGGGACGGCAGGACAGAAAGAAGAACTGTTTCTCCCTAAGTCCTTAAGGTAGCTCATAACCTCAGGCTCTAGGACATGATAGGTGCTGTTCCTGTCTGGCAAAATTTCACCAGATTTTACATCCACTGAGTTGGGAAGGAAACAAATTTAATTATAAAAAATATTCTTAAAAAAAAAAAGGGAGTTAGACTGGATCATGGGGCTTCCCAGGTGGCGCTAGTAGTACAGAACCCACCAGTCAATGCAAGAGCTGCAAGAGGCAAGGGTTCAATCCCTGAGTTGGGATAATCTCCTGGAGAAGGGAATAGCAATTCACTCCAATATTCTTGTCTGGAGAATTCCATGGACAGAGGAGCCTAGTGGACTATAGTCCACCTAGTCCAGCTGAGTCATGGCAGATAAACATTCACCTTTAATTTTCAAAGAAATCCCATTCCTCAGAAAAAGGTTATTTTATACAAAATATATGAAAAAAGAAACCCAGAAAATAAACCTTTGTGTGCTTCACTGATATATGTTATGTGCACAGACACTACAAACTGCTTGTTTTCTGGGCCCACTCTCATTTTATTATGGTATTTATAGCTCTCCTAGTTCATCTCTATTTTAAAACTGGACATACTGTTCCAGGAGATCAAATAGAACAAGCGGCACTTTAGCCTTTCTCTGTGAGAGCCTGTGGCTCATTCATTGGTCCCTAATTTAATTCAGCACAGATTCACCAAAAGTGCTGATAACCACACAGGAGTTCCATCCTAGCAGTCAGCTCAGTAGATATTATTCCACAATAAAAAGCATTTGAAGCAGTCACATCCCTGTACCCTATAAGCCTGCTCCCAAATACAATGATTTTCAGGGCAGACCAGATCAATTGTTTGTTCAAACAAGACTTAATGGGAAATGTTTTGGCAAGGTATCATCTGAAGTACCATGAGGCCTACAAAAGTCATGGAGGATTGGTCACTGCCCTGGAATTGCTTACAGTGGAGCAAGGGAGATTGGAAATGGACCTGGAGCATGACGCCAGGTCAGTCTTGAGAGCTGACCCATGCCTTCTTAGTGAGTGAACTTTGCATTCTGGATGTTAGGACAAACAAAGGTAAGTAGGTAATTTAAGGCCTTTGCAAATAAAATGGCTACAAAGAATGAATTCAACATAATTTCCATTGTGTTATGTCCAGACTAGTTCATTTCAAATGTTATGACATCGTAACAAGATTTCAACTAACCACACCTTTCTGCCCTTACCAGGGAAGCCCTGGTGGTTCAAATGGTAAAGAATCTGCCTGAAATGCAGGAGATGTGGGTTTGATCTCTGGGTTGGGAAGATCCCCTGGAGGAGGGCATGGCAACCCACTCCAGTATTCTTGCCTGGAGAATCCCAGGGACAGAGGAGCCTGGCAGGCTACAGACCAGAGGGTTGCGAAAGAGTGGGACATGAGTGAGTAACTAACACACTTCTGCCTTTATCTCTGGCAGCACTGACAGAGCTTTTGCCATAACTTCAGTATATTTTAAAATTTAGCAGCCAGGACGTGACAGTTGACATGAATTCCACACATACAATCATGCTCCCCCCAAAATGGGTGAAAATAAATTGTTCTTCTTTTAAAAAATTAAACTATGCAGAATAGCTAGCAACATTTAGAGAACAAATAAACATTTAAAGTACTTTCTCCAAAACTTGCCACCACTTTCTAACTTTTCTAGAGAGAGTGTAAGAGATTCATAGTAAATTAAAATATGTATACTGACTACAAGAACTCTAGACCAGCACTAACTAATAAAATTTTCTGTGCTGATAGAAGTATTTATACCTGAGGCATCTAATATGGTAACTTATTACGAATGTGCCTATTGAGTACTTGATTTTTAAATTTTATTTAATTAACTAAAATTTAAGTTTGAATTACCATATGTAGTCCATGACTATCTCACTGGACAGCACAGAACAAGGACAAGCTTGCCTCAGCCAGAAGATAATGTTTGGTTATCTTAGCAGTATCTTATAGATGTTTTCCATGAGAAATGAGAAAAATAAGAAACATTTCAAAATTGAGATAGAGTTTTATTCTGTGTCAATTTAAGAAACCAGCATAAAAGTCTAATGGATTTAAAAAAGAACTGTAATGGAACTTACATATGGAAATATATTTATTATAATAAGATGATAAGCTTTTTAATCCATAAAGATACATTTATTACAATAATGGTGCTCAAAACACTTCTGGAGTGCTTTAGGAACGATCTGCAGGGTCCATGGTAGATTCTATTTTACTATCTTTAATGGTGGCAATTATGTATTCCTTAAAAATAGATTTGATTTTTAACAAATAGCTAAAGGATATTTGGAATTGAAATAGTTCTGGTGTGAATTATTTGCTAACTTACTCTGTACTCTTTGGAAAGTCAATTCACTTCTCTGGGGCTAAAGTCTCTCATCAGAAACTAAAGGCAGTTGAACTAAATAATTTCTCCCATTCCACTTAACATTGACATGTTCTAACTGATTAAATGATTCAAAATCTGGTAAATGAGTGGTTTTAGTCAAAATCAAGCACAGTTATAAAGCAATGAGACTAGTTTGCTTTTAAGAGTTGTGACACCTCTACTGGGCAATTGTAGAAGAGGAAGCTCAAAAAATGGTCTGGGCCGTGACAGCATTACTGGAGTAACACCAGCCGTCACTTCAGGGTGCGTGTATTATTTATTAAAAGTAAATAAAAGAATGGATAAACAACAGAGTCCTACTGTATGGCACAGGGAACAATGGAAAAGAATAGAGAAAAGGATGTGTAATACATACATATATATATATAACTGAGACACTTTCTGTACAGTAGAAATTACACAATGTTGTAAATCAACTATACTCAGTACAATATGGGCTTCCCCGGTGGCTCAGACAGTAAAGAATTTGTCTGCAATGCGGGATAGCCAGGTGTGATCCCAGGGTCAGCAAGATCCCCTGGAGGAGGGCATGGCAACTTGCTCCAGTATTCTTGCCTGGAGAATCCCATGGACAGAGGAGCCTGGTGGGCTGCAGTCATGGGGTCGCAAAGAGTCGGACTAGACTGAGCGACTAACACTTTCACTTTCTTTCAATACAAAATAAATGAATAAAAGAACTTCAGAAGAGGCATAGAAAACAGTCCTAGGTGTCTAGTAACTTTACTTTCATTACAAACCAATCTCCTTTGGACATTTCACCGCAATTCAGTTGTCCTGCTCTAAGAGGATAGCCTTTTAAGAACAAGTATTACAAATGATGGCACAAGGCAAAAGAAAAGGGCCCTCAAACATCCCCCCTCCACTACCTGCAAAATCACTCTTGAAGTTGTGAAGAAACCTACAACGGCCCATCAGGGAGGAAGGAAATCTGCTGTGAACTCTCTGGGCGGAAAGGATTGCTGTGTTCTTTGTCACCTGTGTGTCCTGCTGGGAACTGGCATGGCTCACATTGCCAACAAGGCTGCTCCCTCCCCAACCCCAAACGGGAGTCTGGAGATGTTTCAAAATTGACAAATTCTTGACAAAAACACTAATCAGCCCAAACACAGAGGATTCCAGAGAAACACATACCATGAATTACCAAGGATACTTACTTAAAAGCAAGCATTTGGGGAGTTTATCTAATTCTGAGTCACGCTATGAATGCCATTACAGTCACAGGAGTCTATCTCTCTAGGTGGATGGGAGGAGCACATCTGATAAGCGGTCTCCAAAGCCATTTTAGGGTATCTCTTATGTGAATTCACAATGATTCATAAAAGGTATGAGGCAGGAAGTCCAGGACAGTCCAGCCCAGACAGAAACTGCAACAGACACCAAAGAAAGCATATCATTCGAAGAAGCTTGTTTCTTGGGGACAGAAAGATGCTCAGAGTCTCTGATCATTCAGAAAGTTGATAAACTGCTGAACTATTTGAAGTATGTGTTGAGAAAGACTTGGAATGCATTTCCTTTGAGGACTGGTCTCATCTACAAGGGCTTCCCTGGTGGCTCAGATGGTAAAGAATCTGCCTGCAATGCAGGAGACCTGGGCTTGATCCCTGGGTTGGGAAGATCCCCTGGAGAAGGGAATGGCAACCCACTCCAGTATTTCTGCCTGGAGAAATCCATGGACAGAGGAGACTGGTGGGCTACAGTCCATGGGGTTGCAAAGGATAAGGTACAACTGAGCCACTGACACTTTCATTTTTCATACAGAAAGAGTTCAAACAAGTCAATCCAGTTACTGATATACACCCTACTTAAGTGAATAGTGAAGTGTTCACTTAGGGCTTCGCAGGTGGTGCTAGTGGTAAAGAACCTACCTGCCAATGCAGGAGACAGGGTCCCCTGGTTCAGGAAGATTCCCTGGAAGAGGGCATGGCAACCCACTCCAGTATTCTTGCCTGGAGAATGCCACGGACAGAGGAGCCTAGTGGGCTACAGTTCATAGGTTTGCAAAGAGTCGGACATGACTGAAGTGATTTAGCACGCACGCACATGTGCACTCACGTGGATCAAAATTTTGCCCAAAACACAAAATATCATGGACTCTTACAACTTCTGATGCAAATTGATGCCCATGGTGAGCTCTTTGCTGTGTTGGTCACAGCTGATGCATCCTACATCCTTTTAGATAACTCCTTGTAATCCCAAGGAGTTGTCCTCTTTCATATGAAACAAAATGGAAAAACAAAACAAAACACAGATCTTGTAAATTATAACTCATAAAAAATGTTCCAGACTGAAGCAACCCAAACCCAAAGTAGAGGAGGGACATGACTCACGAAAGCCCTGTAATCCGAGGCAAGGCCCTATACTTTAGGCTCCTCCTCACACACATGATTTTTTAAAAACTGTCAGTAAAATGATATAAATAGCCAGAACACACTCTTGGAAGGAAAGTTCCTTCTTGGAGGAATGACTGGACAACAGCCGATTCTCATTTTCCAGCTGGAGACGA